GGCACGTCACACTTTCGGTAACATCTTTGTACCCTGCAAATACATCCGAAGTCTTTTTTCTATAACCTTGATTTGCCCCAGAAGGACACTAAATACTCTGTCACCTTAATGTAATTCAAATGTATGCCAGACTTCTTCTCAGTAACCTAAATATGCCAACCATTCCAGTGACCTTAGAGTGCCTCTGGGCGTTGTCACACTTTCCTGTGACCCAGAATTATCTGAAGACTATAATAGCTTACATGAGACATTATTATATGTAGAATAAAAGAAAACTAAAATGTCTATAGTCTGAATAAATACTAAAAGGATACCAGAATTTATGTGGACGTCATGTATTCTAGAACGGTACCAAGACTTTCTGTGGTCTAACTGCATTTGATACTGTGCTCTGAAAGGACATCAGACTTCCTATTTCCTTCATACGTCCTAACCGGTATCATACTTTCTGTAATCTTTATACTGCAAATATATCGAACGTTCCGCCATTATATACATCCCGACAGGATACATAACTTCCTGTCATCTTTATACGTCCCAGAATGACATCGGACGTTTTGTGGCGCTAAAACGTCATATACCAGACCGTATACCAGACTTTTAGTGCATCCTAACAAGGACACCACGCTTTGTGTGACCTTAATACGTTCTAAATGGACAAAAAGTTAGTACTTAGTACGTCCTAAAGAACACTAGTCTTTCCTTGGCCTTAGTATATTCTCAAAGGACAACAAGCTTTCTGTGGCCTGTGCACATGTACGTTCTAAAATAACAACAAACTTGGCATTAGTACATTCTCAAAGAACACCAAGCTTTCCTTGGCCTTAGTACATTCTTAAAGGACAACAAGCTTTATGTGGCCTGTGCACATGTACGTTCTAAAATAACAACAGACTTGGCCTTAGTATGTCCTGAAAGAACACCAAGCTTTCCTTGGTCTTAGTACATTCTTAAAGGACATCATACATCATTTGGCATTTGCATGTCCCGCAGATTTATCAGAACACTGTATGCTAATTACTTTTTCCTGTGTCTGGTACAGATAGTAATTTTTTTCTAGTCATTCATTTGATTGTCAGTATACAGGTGCTATATTTTTTCCATTGAAATGATATATTTTACAATGTACAATACTTCTTAATTGTACTAGGGTACTAGCATCTTGTATCAGGATCTCGGTGGTTTGAATTTCCCTTCCTGGAGTTAGTTTAAAGGATATTTGGTGAAAAACAGCTTTAAGACGCGGTTTACAGTTAACTTTCTTGTGCATATTAAAATTTTAAAATGTCATTGTTAGATTTAACGACCCCTTCCCGGAATCAGAGTAAAGTTTTCTTTAAAAAAGTCACTTCTCGACAGCGTTAGGAATGAGAGATAACAACAGTACTGATATTTGGGTTCATGACTCCTTTGAGGAATACCTTCTCTAGTTCAGTCTAGTTGAAAGATGTCAGATTAAAAACTTCATTTGTTTCAAAGGTTTAGATATTGATCAGTTGACATTAAAATGGCAAATTATGTTTTTATTTGCTATTGACAAACATGCCGGAGGTGAGGGCCGCTACAGCTCTTGTTTTAGTTCATCTGAACCATCGTCGGAATGACCTTCATTCATCGTGTATCGTCGTGTGTACCGCGTACATTTAAACTTTTCACAGTCAATGATCCCGAGATATGCCTAAGTGTTGCTATTTGTAAGGTCTGTAAGAAATCCAACCATCTTGACCGCCATCTTGAAAAAAAACACATGATAAACTTTTTTTCAAGCTCAGCTGGTACCTTCGTGTTGAAAATTGGTTGGATATTGAGGAAAGGAAATCAACAGTGCTGTTTTACGGCTTTCCTGAAACTTTGACATGAAAGCCGCGGTTGCCATATTGTAACATGATTGCACAATAACCCCTCACTGAAGTTCAACTTAGACTTACCTGAAGTACTGCCGAGATGGTCCTGACCAAGCGTTATTTTTCGAGTCGGTCAAAAATCCGATGTGGCCACCATATTGAAAAACACATTTTAAACCTCTTCTCAAGCTCCATTGATACTAATTATGAGCTGAGGTTTTGAGGGAATGTTGACGATTGAGGAACTAAATTAGACAATGCTGTTGGTTTTGCTATCTAAACTGCTACAGTACTATAAATTGTTGTTACAATTTACTTACTGTGAACATTACTGCTGTAATATCACTTCTAAGTGTTTTAGTCAGTGACCGTTACAGCCCATGGGCCTCTTGTTCTGTAAATTTGCTTTAGAGACAACAGAAGATGACAGAGATTCATTATCATTATAGAATGATAGAAGGATAAGTTTTATTTCTCCAAATGTTATATGTCCAAAAGCCTTTCATACAATCTTTCAACACATTTTTCTAATCCTTCAATGCACATTAAAACAGATCAGATTGTTACCCATGTATGAAGTATGATTTTGAGTAAATAATAAACATTAAAATGAATAAATGGTATAATTCAGTTTTGTTTTTACCCCCTCCCCCCAAAGCTTTTTAAATAAAAAAATGAGACACGTTCTATAAACACCATTCAGGGAAGATTCACATTTAGTGGTTATCTTAGGTCGCCTGTTCAACGCAGTGTTCACTAATGTCTATTGATAAAGTAGGGACAGCCATGTTCTTATTCAGACGTGTTAAAACAGACCTTTTGATAAAAACCGTGTGGTGTGTTATATACATGTACAAACCTCTATACATTTTAGTAGTCAGATCCCTTGGTGGTTGATATTTTAAATTGGGTGCGCGTGCTTTTTTATGTTGAATTATATATTATGTGAAAATAGATCATTTGGTATGATAACCGACTGAACACAGAGCCTACTGGTCAACTCCACAATATTTCTGACACTTAAAATTGTTATATTGGCATCTGGTAATTGAGTCGTACCAATATATCGGATATGCATATTTTGAACCAAACATACAATGTTTGTTTTTGACAACGAAAACATAAGAACATGCTTTGTATGTGTTTGGGATCAACGTAGAAAACGTTACATTATTATCGACGTTTAAGAATTGCAATAGCCTGTTGATGTGGCTGTAAAGCAATGTGGTGCCATGTCTTTGGAAACTCGCAAAAAGCCTTACAATATCATTTCATCTAGCGCGTTCCTTTCCCTGATTCTCATTGGCCTTCGTGGAACGTATTCCATACACACAAACGAAATCAGTATAGGTCAGCAATTACAAACTGCTGTCATGGCCGGGAGCGTGTAACATCAGTCTAGGTATTCTAGACACTACGATAAAACGTCGCTATCTCTGGAGCTTGAGTGTGCTGACCCCAATTGGGATGATGGGCCATGCTCTCAGCATATCTCCAATATAGCACGTGTTTTTTTGTCCCTGAAAGTCTTTCTGAGCAAGCCTTTAACAGCTGTCTTTTCCAGCTTATGCTATACCAGATCAGATAACTGGTAACAAATATCAATGACTTGAGATTGTGACATTTTCTTTGAGCTAGACATGTCTACTGAGGAAACTGTAATGTTACATTTCCTTTTGCCTTTGTGTCACTTTTCAAAACAAGAGGACCATGGGGTCTGTATCATTCATAAGCAGTAAAGAATTAATTCATACTCTTACTTTTATAACCAATAATGGGTTCTGCCCTTCAGCGGGCCCATGATTTACATAGAGTTGAGTTCCAACTGAGTTCCCCAGAGGGATCATGATCACTGTTTGTACAAAATATGGAGTGTCCCTTACCCAAGGATGCTTCAGCCCAAATTTGAACTAAATTCTATTATTTTCCCAGGAAAAGTTTTTCAAGAATTTACTATATATTTCCCCTTTTGAGCCCCAAAGATCAGTCCAAGGGAGATAAACCATCTACATGTGTACATCTTTTGGATTCACAGATGAGTGATATCCAATTCATAGTTCTTGAGAAATTATTTATAACAATACAACCAAATTGTTCCATTTTGGCCCCAACCCTTTGCCCAGTGATATCAGCCTCATCATCTTTTGAATCCCTAACCCTTTGTAATACTATCAGTCAAATAATTGTGATATCCAATAAGACTAAACAGCCCTTTATGGTCCCACCCCTCAATTTGTATAATATGAATGAAATGTGAAATGTGTGTGATATCCAGGCATAGTCCTAGAGAAGTTGTTCATAGCAATATAGCCAATTTTTTCCTTTTTGAGAGCATCCCTCAGCCCCCTTGGGAGCCAGCCATACAATTGTTTTAATAACCACTATCTTGGAATGTTTCCTGTCCAATTTGATTGATAGCCAATCATTGGTGGAGAAGTTTTGAAAATACTGTTGATTTTAGATGGACAAACACCAGAGTACAGCATCAACTCACCTTGGTCCTTTGGACCAGTTGAGCTTATAAGTGGATACCAGAATTTGATCTTTTGAGCCATTCAGATGAAGTAAACAATAGGTTGATAGGTTTACAATAATTCTAATTTTGAAGATGTTTTGACAACCAGGTTAAGGTGCCATGTAGTTACAGTACAATAAAGTCACAATAACAAAATTATCAATTATAAAAATCACTGGTCCTTTGGCATCTTATTGGATGATAGGCTATAGTGGTAAATATTTGTCTTTGAAAAATGTAAACCTAAAAAATGTTTGTCTTTGTCCTGATTTTTCTGACACATTATTCTCCTAAATCCTCTCTCCTTTAACAGTTAAAATTCATTCTGTCAAAAAAAGTTGTTTATTGTCAATCAGAAAAGAATAAATGTCAGTTTCTTTGTGATAAATGTTTAAAATATAAACTAGTCTAGACAACATGATGGAGATGAAAGGACAGGGTTGTTCAAGGGGAGCCAACTCTTACTAGAATGATCGCTGACACGATAAAATCATATAGTTTAATTTAATGAAAAGTATTCACAAGGATATTACATATACATGTATATACAAAATATCATTTACACATTACATATCATGTACAAACATTTGCAGAAAATAAAACAAATATTTGTGGTTAAAAATCGTGTGTATAAATCAAGATTGACAATAGCATCTTTTTAAAATTACTGATTTCATGAATTCAGATTTCATACATTTTTGAACAATGATTCTTTGTTTTTATCACAGATATTGCTTGTCGAAATGTTCCTCTTTTAAGATGTCTCATTCTGCAAGATCTTGTATTCTATTGTAGGAATGTTGATGTGTTCCTCCATGACAACTATGTTTACTAATGTCCAATGTTAGGGCGATTGCTGACTATAACTTCCTGTATGTGATGGCTTCAGGAGTGTCAGATTTCATCAGGTGCCCTGGGTTGTGTATAAGATCTACTATATATGCTCTGGGTGGAAATTTTGGGGCACCAGGCTGTAAGGAGAGAAAATAAAATAATGAAAATATTTATTCTTGAAAACAATTCACAGGTGGATGTATGCAGACAGTATGCTTGATCAGAAAAAACAGGCAGAGATCACTGATGTCTGTAAATGTGAAAATACTTGCTCAGACAATGTAAAATCCAAAATTGACGACTAACAGATACACATATGTGATATTATTTGACTTATGTGACTTAAATTCATTAAAAACCTGCAAGGCCTGCATATTTTTACACAATTTCCTACCTAATTTTCACTGAAAGTATGTGTATTTGGTAAGTTTTGTACAAGCCACACCAACTAACAACTAACCGTGGGGTCACTATCGGGCAGCATAACCTCATTCCATGCTCGGTTGTACTCTCCTCTGGTCAGTGTACAGGGTACAGCTATCTGGTCTGCTAAAGCCTGGTAGGGAACATGAAAAATGAAAAGTTGAATTAATTTGAAATTTGAAATAGATTCAACATATAATGAAAAAATTATCTTAAAAACCTCCAGCATCTGCTGATATCTTAATGTACATTGTAAAATGAATGATGATTTTTTTTTTTAATTTTTGCTGTTTGCTTTATTTTCTATCATCATTTGATAGAAAAAAAATAAAAATGTAAATTAAATCAATAAAAATGAAAAGCAACATTTACAATTCTGATTTTATTTGATTTTGCATATTCTAACATACTTAAATCTGTTTACTTTAAGGCACAATGAAAAGGTTATATGTATAACTATTGATATGTCTCAAAAGAACTTTTTGAAAATACATTTTTAAGCAAAAATAAACAAGTAATTTTCTAATATAGTTCTTTTTTATTTATAAATACATGAACATCTGCATTTTGAAATTTACAAAAAACAAATATCTCAGAAACAAATCTTAGTTTGTAAATGTCAAACTGTGATGTCATGAGAAAGTGCTGTCTTACCTTAAAAAGAAGAGCTCGGTGGATGTGTATGCCTGTCTTGATCTTGCCAATCGGCACAACATTGGATTTCAGCTCAAACTTAATCTGACCTATTGGGAGTTCCCAGCTGAAGTTTGTGAGCTGTCCCTTCTCTATAGGGCCTCCCATCTTGTCTGCTACAAACCTGAAGCACAAACCTGATACACTGTAGAAATACTATGTTTTGAGGAAAAACTACTACTTCACATAAGATTAATTTAACCTTACTTCTCCAAGACTACTGCTGCTCTTTCACCTTGGTAAACAATTTTTTTCCTTGCCAACCTCTGAATATTGGTTGTTTTTTTGTCAAACATTCTGAATGTTGATACATCAGTTTTTTATCTTCCACCTTCTGAATCTGGGCAAAATGAATGACCTTAACAAATGTATATATTACTCGGGCCAGCAGACTGTTCATGTGCGCAGAAATAAGTTTAGATGCAGTAGGCTTTTTGTGAGAAAGAAATTATCACTACGACCTTTACCTGGCCAGAGTGTTGACCTGTTCATGGACAGAGGGAATGGGCTGGATCTTCTCTGTCACCTCCTCCATGTATTTGAGTAGAGTGGGATCTGTGGGAAGTTCAAAGGGCTTGTTTTCTCTGCCACCCTGTGACATTGCTTCCTTCAGTAACTGTGCCTGCATCTCTTCTTCACGCTGTTTTTCCTCCCGATCTCGCTGGGTGCGACTCTTCCTGTGTAAACCAGAGGGCAGCACTAAGTGAGAGGTAATCGTGTGAGTTATATCAAACTTGTCTCTAACAAAAGACTACCATATTCATAGAAACATTAATAGCATTATCAACAAGTTCTTATGTGGACCTAAATGACTCTGTCAAGTAACTGTAAACAACAAGTTTTTGTGATTTCTCACAAGGTGATGAATTTTCCAAGGGAAAAAAAGACAGAAATAAAAAAAAAGTGACCTGAAATTTTTACTTGTGAGATCTTAAAAACTTGAATCTAGTGAAGAATGCAATTTCAAACAATTGTAACAATCTATTCTCTTGATATTTCACTACAAAGTTATTACAAGTTCAGAGACTTCTATACAGGAAAAATCGACATCCATGAAATTTAGTGAAAGATACAAAATTTATACAGTTTCATATATCATATAGAGACTACCAAACTAAATAATTATTAACACATCAGTGGGAATTAAACAAGATGATATGAGTTATATTAAAAGATTTCATTATGCAATACCTATTGTACAGCCAGAAACCATCAGATGTAGATAAACCATAAATAAAGTTTACAAAGTAAAATTCTATTTAATACTGATACTTAACTTCTCTACAAGAAATCAATACCATGGTAATAATATTTCCAATCAAAGATAATGAAACTTCTAGTAGCTCTTTTATTTAAGTATCTGGGAAGAACATTTTTGGATTTTCAGAACAGGGACTTGGCATGAATTCCATGGTCCATATATATATATCATAACACCTTAATACACATATATCGACCGTGGATTGGGAATTTAAGCCAAATCCCTGTGATCTACAACAAATTATTGTTGTCAATATAACATATGACTTACATGAAAATCTATACCTGAACTTTCTCTGTGACCATAAATTGACATCCTAAAGGAATTTTAACTCATCATGACAACTTCAAACTACAAGAACTGGTAATGTATCAATACAGAGTGTTAGAAAGCCAGTTATTATTTACCATCACCATTACTTCACATTACAACAAAAATACTTGGAAGCTGCTAACAACCATGTTCACATGTTATTTCATAAGCATCAGAGAACTACCTTACAGAACTATAATCTAAACTACACATAAATAAATCAACAATTTTGGGTTCTGAACTTCTGTATCAATTATTCTGAACTTCTATACCTAATGTTCTGAACTTTGAAAACTATTGTTCTGAATTTCTATATCTAATATCTGAACTTCGGAATCTATTGGTCTGAATTTCGGAATCTATTGGTCTGAACTTCAGAATCTATTATTCTGAACTTCTGTATCTATTGTTCTGAACTTCTGTATCCATTATTCTGAACTTCAGAATCTATTATTCTGAACTTCTGTATCTACTGTTCTGAACTTCGAATTCTATTGGTCTGAACTTCAGAATCTATTATTCTGAACTTCTGTATCTACTGTTCTGAACTTCTGTATCTACTGGTCTGAACTTCAGAATCTATTATTCTGAACTTCTGTATCTATTGTTCTGAACTTGTTCTGAACTTCTGTATCTATTGTTCTGAACTTCTGTATCTATTGTTCATATTATCTTCATTTTTCATTATTGATTGTTTTTGTTTTTTTTTGTTGTTGTTTTTTTTTAAAATAAAATTGATCTGATAATCATATATATTTTTCTTTATATTTTTGTTTTTACAATTCACATCAGAATAGAAATCCAACATGTAACTTAGATGAGTATTTGAACTACATGGTAAGGACATATAAGAAAAAAAAAATTTGGTTTAGTTCCATTAAAACTCTCCAAATGGCAGCAAATAACATCCCTGTACACCAAACAAATGCCATATATATATTGCCAATGTGTGTGTCTAGTAACACAATGGAATGAAACAGAATGTATAGCAACTCACTGCATCAAATAAATCCTTTAAACATGAACACTGTTTTTGGAAGCTTGATGGTTAATTTCAAATTTGATGTTAAACATTTCTAACATTCAAAACAATGAAAACACTACATCAGCTTCACAGTCTATATACAGAGCTATACATGGAGGAACTAACAGCAATATGACGACAATTAAATTCTGGTTATATCAACACCGAGATTAATTCACTTACAACGGAGGACTGGTATCATCCCTGTAAACATTATCATGGGTTAGGTTACAAATTTTTCTTATCGATCATGTAAAAATTAATTTCCACGGTTAAGGAGATGATGCATGCCTTGTACCTCACGGTCTCGCTACTTAGATTAAAACCATTCCCCAGAATACCTGTTCGGGTTGTAAACTATATATATTAATGATATCATTGCTTGAAAAAGATCACCAACCATCTCATGTCGTCATGATGGTCTAAACTTTTCAAAATCAGACAATGTATATATATACCATGGTATTTTAAACGTGTGTTAAGATTTGATAAGATCAGTAAAAATTATAATGTATGTGGATATTCATATTACATTTGCATGACAATGCCACTATAAACCAACCAAAGAGAAATGTCGTTTAAAGTACTATAAATGACATCCAACAAATTGGTTTATTCTTGTGTAAATTGAGTTGTAACCTCATAAAACAGTAACATATAAAGGGCATGTAGAATTAAGCATTGAACTTTCTTATTATGGTATTTTAGGGTATAACGATATCTGCTTGGAAAGTTCTGTCATTCATCCTGACTGTATATGTCATAACCAGACAGTTGAAGAGTTAATTACATATTATATTATTATATTTGGGGAAATTTTACATTTGATTTATTTTTTAGTTTTTACTGTGTAATTATATGATGTCGCCTTGAAAGAAGTCAACATAGACCATTAGAGAAAAAGTCAGTGAACCAGGGAGGTAAAAATATATAAAACTTGCATTCCCAAATTTTTACCTTGTAACAGAATTATATACATGTGTATAATAGTTTAGAGCTTCATTTGATCTGCAGTGAGATCAGTGCATAGTATATTTGTATATACTGTGTTATTGTTAATTGATAGTAAAATAAAATGGTCATGCAGGGATAGCTTTAACTCAGAGCACATGCATATTCCAATAAAATCATATAACACAACTTCATTTCCATCTAAATCCAGTACATATGTTATTTTCTATCCATGCAAAAAACATGGCATCTGTGTTAAGAAAAATAAAAATAACTTCAACCACCCAAAAACCTGCAGATTTCATCCAAATGAAATAATGTTCATCCATGCAAAACATTAATTCCTAATTAGTAGAGTGCCTGCATGCACTGATAGGTGAGGAGTACACAGTGGCAATTTGGGATCATTACAACATCCCTTGCCTTAAAGTCGCACACCTATGTGTTAATATTGAAAGAAAACAAACAATATACCCTGAATATCTACAAGAAACAATAATACAGAATTTCATTAATGATAATATTTTTTAAAAATTAACTTATCATAATTGTAGTAGAGATTATTTGATTCTTTTTATACATATTTTCAAGACAATTAATCTTTATTATTTTTTTTGTATTAATTGATAATATAGGAAGTTGAGGTAAAGTAAAACATTTTTAGAGAACTTAATGCACACATGATATATCAAAAGCATTTAAAGATGTGAATATTAATTTGATAACACTTCTTGGGTACCCAGGTTCAATATTACTAATCATTATTGAATGAACACATGCATTATAAAAAGTAGTCACCAAATTTATAAGAAAGCCCCCTCCCCTCATTTTCACTGATGATAACCATTGTTAAGACAGTCCCTCCCAGCCCATAAATGTTGATTACCTATTGTAGACAAAATTAAACACAAGGCTATGTACTGTAAAATATATTGAAAGAAAAGGTAATAAAAATAGAAATTGTAAAATCAAAAGCTGAAAAATAAACAAAAAAAATAAAAACAACAACAACAACATATCTAATTCATGCATTAAGTACAGGTCTTTTCACATGCTGCAACATCACTGATAAGGCAAATTTGATTAATAGGTAATCCCTGGGGAGGGGCAGGGCCATGGGGAGGAGGCACCAAGCCTTATATGGGCAGAAAGGCACACACAACAGATTAATGTGCTACTTACGGTGGTGATGCACTGGAAGCAGGAAACGGAACAGCAGTTAGTGATTGGACGAAAATACCAAATGTAAAACCTCGACCAATTACATTTTTGTTCAGTTTAGGACGTACTCCACTGGTTCATCTACTTGTACGAATTGACCAATACCGAACACCAACAAACTTATCAAAAGAGCCATCAATGTGAAATGTTTCATATCAAATTCAAAGTCAAACTGGACTTTACTTTATCACTGAAGACAGAAACATTTCATACTTGTGCTGGCTATTTTCTTTAATCATTTATTAGATATAAACTTGATTTTTTTTTCATTTAATACATATTTCTTATATATATTTCCATTTAACTACCAATAATGTCATTTTTTGGAAAAATTCCTAGACAATGCATTTTTAAAATATACTTTCACATAAAGAGAGAAATATGAATAAAAAACGGTTATGTGAATGTGTATATTATATAATATACAGATTTCTGTTTTTTTCATATTTCTATTTCTTTACACCAGTGTATCTATAAAACCAGTGGAATACATATTGTATTGTCAGTAACCAGTGTATCGGTGAAGCACAGCAAGAACATACATTGTTTAACACGACAATACAACATTTAACTTTACTGCGGTCTATAAATTCTGTCGTTTCATCATGTTTGTGTGTGCTGTACAGACCTCACTAATAATCTACAGTTATAAATCCTTGAAAATCATTCTTAGCAGTAACTTATATTTAATTTGTAATTTTTTTCTAAATTATGGAAACCCTTCACAGAGGAAAAGTCTGTTCTATAATTTATTTGTATAGATAGTATAAAAAATGATACTTTCAGATGAGACATGTGATCATATTTCAGTCAGAATAACCAGAGTAGGCATAATAACAAAAAACTATCCTGTCACCCTTTCCACAAAAAAAAAAAAAAAAAAAGAAAAAAAAAATCCTTGCGTATTTCCATATGGGTCAATAGTAAAAGTGAGTATATGTAGATTGGTATTGTTTAGCAGTTATTGTGAAATAAGACTTATAGTTTTGATAACTATATGGTAAAACCCTGTACTGCCCATCTCAGCTATATGTCAGCATTATAAAGGGGTCAAAGAATTTTGGAAAAAAAAAAAAAAAAAAAACCATGAAATGTCTTTAAGAATGAGACAAAGACCATTTAAGAGAGGCCACCAACATTTTGTGTTAGGTATTTTTAAGTTATTCTGACTGGTGTCATCCACCCCTACATACTTTAATTTTACAATCAGATGCTACAGTATAGGTTTTGATATTACACGAATCATTATACTCAATCTAGAACTACTGATGTAGTAAATCTTGAAAATATTACAGTAAGACAACATTATATAGCTCAGATTTTTGTTAGATTAGATTAAAGTGAGCTATGATAAAGTACAGCTCAAAAAGAAAATGATGATTACATCTTAGGAATATTAATGACCTTCAAGAGAAAATTCATATCCAAAAGTATAGTTCTGTTGAATTCAAAGTTTCTTTAAAGTGATCAGGTCTACACTACACCAAGCAATAACCGATACCAGGAAATGCAGTAGAACTTGGAATTAAAACGGACAGAAAAAAATCCTATGAGCTAGTTTTAAAATCTACCAATAGCAAAGTTTTTAATGACAGCTGGCTTCGGGAAATGTTCTAAGTAGGCAAGGTAGCAAAGAATAAAACTCTTCATTAAGGCTGTGACTTTTTGATACATACGCTTTTGATTCCCTTCCAGTTCTAGATGACTTCCCAGAGACACTTGTTTTGGAACTCTCCTGTTTGACTTCAACATCCTGTTGGGACAAGGATTGTTGTGCGGCTGGGCTGAGAACACAGAGGACACCACAGGTATATATACACGGCACACCCCTCAACCAACACTTTTGCCAAACCAATATTTCGTTGATATGAAATCTTGTAATTTATCTGCCAGTACATCAATTTGAAATTCTACCAATATTTTAAATAAAGTTTGTTTCATGTTTGAAAAAAAATTACCAATATCAATCTGAAATTAAGCCAAAAGAATAAACTTTGTGTGATGTTTGGAAAAAGTCAGTACAAGCAACATTATAAAATTCAAGCACACACCCAGTATACCAGTTTAAACATTCCACAGATTACACACAGGTTAATCATAACTGTATACTGTCTTATATTACAGAAGGGAGGATTCATTAACCATTAAATGTACATTGTAAAACATCATCTATTTATAAAAGATGATAGATTCCATGTATCGCTTTTTTTAAATGACACAGCATCCAAATATTCATCATCCTACACATTGATGTTGAGTGGTAACGGATCATTAGCCAACCCAAAGGTTTTCTCCTGCTTCCTATCACAGTAAGATCCCAGCACACTTAAATTTGGACCAACAAAAGTAATTTGTATAAGTTTAGATTATTTGTTGTGCAATCATAAAATTGATCAACTATATTCATATTAATCTCTCGGTACCTCCTAGGTCCTGCTTCAAATTACATAATTGAAAATCCAAGTATATATTGAAAATAAATTGATAATTCAATTTAGGTTTAGTAATACCGTCAAAAACTGCCATTAAACTGGTTAATGCATATTATCCTAAAAAAATTGATCCAAACTTTAATTCAGCATAACAAACAGTGAAACACTTACGCTGGTTTGGCATTGACCAAGAGAATAGCACGTTTGTCATTGAGATCTTGTTTACAACAATCCTCAATTGTCATGAACTTGCTACCTGGTCTCAGCTGTCCAGCATCGTAGAAGCCATTCTCTATAAGGTTTGTTGAGCCTGAAACAGATTGTAGACAAATAAAGCATATTTAAATGAACACTATGAGAATTTTTTTAAGATTAACAAGAAAGGCTTTAACAAGCTTAACAGGTTAACTGTGAGAAAGTTCTAAGTGAGCGACTTACTGAAATTTTCTGTTGGACATATTCAACTGAAATGCAGATTTTCCGAGGTTTCCTATGGGAGAGTACTTGACTTAGATAAATAACTTACTATTATTGAGGTTTTTGGTGAGGATGTTCCTATTGACAATAAAGATGTACTGATATATGTTGTGAGGACATATCTAAATGACAATAAGGACTTACTGAGATTTCCTGTTAAGGCATATTTGGCTGACAGATTACTGTCTAGCAGACGTTCCAGAGCAGCTTCTGCAAATGGATTCTTCCTGGTTCCGGACACCTGGATTTCTTGTAGGATTTCCATACCTCTGAGAAATTGAAAGGGAAATGTGGCATCAAAATTTGATAAAATCCATAAAGTTGTGTAGATTTCATAGAACACCTAGATACCAGATTTGACAGAATACCCGGATATCAGAATAAACAGAACGCCTGGAAATCAAATTTGACAGAATGCCTGGATATCACATTTGACAGAATGCTCACATATCAGATTTGACAGAATGCCTGGATATCACATTTGAGTGGAACATTTTGAATCAGATGTGATACCTGTATCAGGTTAAGATTTGGAATTCAATCAAACATCTTTAGCAGGTTCCAAATGAATTCATACCTACCTACATGTATCTTACTTGATTTTACAAGGAAGACTTTTTCTTACTCTTCTGTGTTTGTGAATTGTCAGTTATCAAAAGTGAATACCTACCCCAATTTACACACTTCCGTGGCTGTTGGTTCGTCTACTGCACATACTGTGATAGCCCATGATGCATTTCGCCGCACTTCATCATTCCCAGAATGCAAAAGTATGACTAGGTTTTCGATTCCACTTGCATTTCGAAACTCTGATCTAGAGTCTGAATCACACACATATGCAGCTACACACAAAGATGTTTTGGCCTGGACTGTGGTATTTCTGTCAAATAAACCATGGTGAATAGGTAATGATATAAAAACTTAAAACAAAATGCAAACCTATGATTATAAACACTTAATCATCAAGTTACCTTTGTGATATTTTCAAAACTGTATTCTTATTTATATTGAATTTACATTCTGTTCTTATTCAATATTTGGGTGAGTGTACTAGAGAGCATTACTCATAAATTTATCAACAAGTCCTGAATGTCAGCATTCCAGTTTGTAAATTTCTAGTCATTTGACAAAACCCAGTCCCCAATTTAAAAAATCCTCATCTTTTCCTTGGAAGCTAAGAGTACTTGGACTTAAACTTTCTACAAGAGTGGTGTCAACACCATTATTTCACCAGGCCCCACTTGTATAAAACATCTCAACTTAATATTTCCTCAAGTCGAGATTTTCCTCAGCTGATACCTCCTCAAAAACGGCTTGTATAAAATTTTCCCAAGGAACAGGAGGAAGGCATCGGCTAGGATGTCCTGAAATTTCTTGAGGAATTTTCATACAAGATATTTTCAAGGAGATATTAGCTGAGGAAAATCTCGACTTGAGGAAATCTCAAGTTGAGATGTTTTATACAAGTGGGGCCTGGTCTCTCTGAGACATACCAACTAGACTTGAGGTTTCTCACAACAGTGTTGACAACACTGTTTCTCTGCACCTTCCTTCATACATCTCATGCAAGATACTGTCAGTTCTTAAAGTTTTACTGAACTTTGACTCTAAGTATGCTATGAGGTTAGTGACAAACCTCATGCTAAATCACAATACATGTATGATACTGTATACAGCACTGCAGTTAGATTTAACCTGTTTCTTTTGCCGTTTTGAAAAAAAAACCCTAAAGTTCGAAACCAAATCAGATACATGTTTCTATGTAGTTTACTTTCCATGTATACACTATACTGCTCTCTACTAGGGTAAAGACAAAGGCTGATACATATAAGGTCTTCATGCCCTCCATTGGGCTAGTTACAATCTGTTCACCGTTGGGAACAATGACATTTGGTACCTACTTGGACTTCAGGCCCTCTATCAAGGTGGTAACAACTCCTTTTCCCTGGGCCTCCATTCGGAGAGCCTCTTCAGTAGCCATATTGGTGAGGACACAAGCAGCATTGGCAACTGCCTCCTCTCTAGGATCAGTCAATAGATTTACCAGGATTTCTGTACCACTGAAATTACTGACTTCACTGAAATAAATAAAATATTTACTTCACAAACTGTTTAAAAAATATTGACCTCAAAAATAGTAAACACAAAACATTGGTCTTCCTAAAAAATAAAAAAAAAAAAGACGGATACATGTATTTTAGCAAGCATTTGGTTAAACAATAATTCAGGTTTAAAACACAAAGTGATACAAGGAGCATGAGTTTACAGTGGAATATTCTGTTGAATAAAGTTTAACTGACTTCAAATTTAGGTATTACTGATCAATAATCTACCATATTTTACATTAACTACGGGTATCGTGCAGAAGCATTCTATCAATGATGAGAAATTAATGACACAAACACATTCAAATGCTCATATATTTGTCAATTCCAATCCTCCAAAAAAAATAAAAAGAAGTGATTTCTACTATAATGAGATAGTGGTACGTACTGACAGTTGGTGCTGTTCGAGGTGGTGAGATTAGCTAATGCTAAAGAGGCACCTTCTTTTACGTCTCCATTCTCTGAGTTGAGTAGTTTAATCAATGGCTGCATACCATCTACAAAACAGAACCTCAAATGAGACACTATTCAGAAGTCATAAACTAAAGGTAAATAAATGCTGAGGTTCTTTTTTATATTTTTTCAACTCTAATAAATGTTGACATCATGCTCAGATATTTAATACAAATATCATTTCTTTTGTGTAATTTTAAGATTGTTTTTGTGTTTAAAATTTGGCCACTTTTTCCTCCATTCCAGTTTTGTTTTTAAATGTGAAGAGCATGAGGTTTTATTTCAATGAATTAATGCCATTTCATTAAAACCTGACACCAAATTTTTTTGACAAATTTGCGAAATAGCCAATATATTTATTGTGAAATTAGTGCAAATCTTACCCCATTCTCTGATGGAATCCTTTGACATGAGATTCTCTGACATGACTGCGATGGCCTGGGCAGCAGCTGTCTGTACCTCTGTGGACTCATGAGCCAACAAGTGTATCAACATCTTCTCTGCCTCCTGTTCATGTAAGATCTTTCTGTTCTCAGCTGAAACACAGAAAACAATGCCATAGATAACACATTCACTATTAATATTCAACTTCACAGTGACTTAAGAAATACTTTATTTAAATTTTGATAATGGATATTTGAAGCTAAAAATATCTTAAATAAGAAATTGGATCAGCTAAGTGTATAAACAAATATATCAATTTATCACATATTCTGCTTATTATCCCATGTACTATTTTTACATTTTGTCACTTGCGTTATTTCTCTGGAGAGTTTTCATTGGCTGTGCCCGTCATGATATGTCATGATACAGACAATAACATTACATTATGAATTGAAAATGGAGCTACAAAATGGTTGACCCTTTTTATTTTGTTTTTACTTCAAAACTGGTCAAAATGTAACTTCTCTGAGTGATATAATTAAAAGTATCTCAAATTTGTTTTCACTTCATATAAAACTTTATGAACTTCATTTCAAAATTTGAATTTTTTGCTAAAAAGACCTTCTAAGAAAATTTCATAAAACTCCAAGAAAACTCACTTTAAGATTTTATATAAATGTATTAGAAAATGTCAGACCACAGACACCAGAGCCTGCACAGGCCTTGATTAAATATTTAAATCTAATCAGAGGTTAAAAAAAGATTTCAAATATGAATAAATAAACTTGAGAACATTTCATCATTTTACTGCTGTAGGTTTGTTAAGATATATTAGACTAATATTTTTCAAGGTCAATTTTGTTTTGAAAGTCTTTTCAGTGGCAACAATTCCAATTGTTTTACTAACTGGTGGTTACAGCATCAAATAAAACTGCAGATGATTTTTTAATTGTTACAACCTCCACAAAAACATGTCATAAATTAATTCACTTTGTTAACTATTAACTTCCACACCTGCTTAGAAAATTTGCGGTACCTTTTTCTATGTCTATGATAATATGCATTTATTTCTTGGTTTGTTAATGCAAGGGAGGGAACTCTGTTTTCCTTTGAATAAAGCTTACCATTCCTGGCTGATCGAGCGATGGCTTTGGCTGCACACATCTTGACATCAGGTAAGGTAGGGATGATAGCTTCTCCTGGTGGTGCATCTTCTTTCTCTGGTTCTGAACCACCCTTTTTACCTGTTGAGCATATTAAAATCAAACATTTTGGTCTTCAAATTTTAACAGATTTCAGTAAAACCTTAATTATTGAACTAAAAACTACTTACAAAAAATTCCAATTCTATATAGAAATTCAACACAGGTATGTAGGAAAAAAAGAGATAGATATATATACCTTACAGCTTAGAGAGAATTAAATTGTCAATTTATCAAAAAAAAAAAAAAAAAAAAAATGTTGAAAGTATTTACCAGCAATGAATTCAAATTTTTTTTTTTATTTAAATGTGCATACCACTAAAATGGTACATTTTATCCAATAGTGTATTAACTGCTGAAAGTAAGTGTTTATTATATCTGTACTGATTAAAAACATTTTCTTACCATCCTTGGCACTTTTCTTTGCAGCTCTAGAACCTGCCTTTTTCTCGCCTTTACCACCCTTTGGCTCCTCTTCGGGTGGAGTCTGGTCTGTGATAAGGGCCACCAGACGTTTAAGTCCTCCTGTCTCTTTTACCTCCTACAAATATTACAGAGATTCTGTATATACACAGATAACATATGAAACAGCTAATTTTCCACAAGATTCAAGGATAGAAATATTATACACATAAAGACAAGATCTTACTCACAGCTAAGACGTATAAATTTACATATCTATACAGACGTATGTATGGAAATGGTTCATTTACATATAGAAATTTCTCATAAACAAGTTATTTTGAAATATTTTCAGAAATGATCACCCATAAATTTACCCTAAGCAAGTCACTGATACATAGAAAGACATTGTTTTACATTTTAAATTTTTATTTTTGAATCAGTGAACAACAGGTATTAGAAAACCATATTGGGTGTTTCCATCTGGCAATTTAGTGAAACTTCTGGATTAGCAACTTAAAAAGCAGTGATTAACTGAGCAATATATATATCACAGTCTACCTCTAAACTTTCCAAATCCTCTAGAAGGTTGGAGAGAACCATTACAGCCATCACATGAAGGTCGTTCAGCTCAGGTTTAGCTACAAAGTCAATCAGTCTTGACATGGCTTCCAGTTCCCGAAGAGCTCCACGATTCTCAGCTGCGAGGAGACAAGAATACATTTTTTCTATGATCAGTTATTTTTAAGAGAAATGGTTAAATTTTAAAGTGGATTACATCTTGTTGAAATCATTTCACAGACAGACCTAGACACTGGACTGACATTTAAAGTCCATTTTGAATTTATGCTATAGACATTATAGAGAAAACTGATTTAAAAACAAGGTCCTTGATATAATGTGAATGCATGTATGTATATCTCACAAGAAGCCAAATGTAACAAAACAAAATTCGGTCCAATGTTGATTTTTTATTTACTGGTACTAGATTTACGCCAAATGTTTGAGACATAAAAATTACATTTCAACTCCAATTGTTAATTTCATGTCAAGTGTAATGTACTGAACTGTAAATGAAAGGCAGACATTTACATTTTGATTCCATTCACAAATCTAAACTCCAGACTTGTAACATGCAATATTCACCACATGTGTAGACATCACTTGATAGTTACAACAAGCATGATCACTTACAACCCCACTCCCTCACTTTACCCTCCCCGCCCAGGTGTCAGACAGGGCCATATAAACCTGCTTCATTAAAACCAGGTTTTATCACAGTTCAAAAAGTCCCCATATGAAGTAAAGTATATAAAACTGGGAGAAATCTCAGACAACTCAATATCAATCGAAATAAATTCCCATGGGAAAACCATTTCAAAAGGCAAGATTCAAAACGCATCACTTTCATCATGTTCAAAAGAAGGTACTTGTAATATCTAATGAGAATTTTTATTACGATACCTTACACTTTCATGTCAGTTTACATTTTCTATTCTTTTTTTAAAAAAAGTAAATATTTGTTAAAGAGAAATGCTATCGATGATTTCAATTATTCTTACAAAAAGGTAAAATGATTTTAATACATCAATTCCAAAGTACTGCAGTTCTACTTGATTTCACTCCACTTGATGTCAAGTACATTTTTCCATATTTCACTCTGGAGGTTGTGCGTTTCTATGTCTTTGATAACTGTATGGTATAGAACTCACAAGTTATTTTGTAATATCTAAATCGATCCTTCAACTTGAAATATCTAAATTACAAGAAGTCACTACTTGAACAAATACTTCCTAGCTTCTGGTTTATCTTCTGGAACCAAAAAGAAAAACTTTCAAGTATTACAGGCCTTAGTTTAAGTGGCCTTGAGAATCAATATGATAACTGGTATGACATGGAATTATTTTTTGTTTTTCAATTAGTAGATTTATAGCCAATGTTCAGAAAAAAAATCCATGTACAACAACCTAAAAGATGAATATCCGTAATGTCCGCATCTGTGTAAACTTTTTTGACACAAAAATCTGGGGAAAAAACCCACCTTCCATGTAATGTCCGCGGGTAAAAAATGCAAATTGAAGCTGCCGATTTCATTTCATGTACGCTAATGTCGTAATGGCCGAGAGCATGTCGCATTGTGTATAACTTAATTGTTTATAACAACAGTTATTCTCCATAATGGTACAGTAAGCTTACCAGTATGACAAGTCCTCATTTCGATAATTGGTGTTTTGATAAGGGTTAGCCCAGCAGGGTAAATACCCAGAAAGTACAGAATTTATCACCAACATTGTGACATTTAAAGAGTTCAATACTTACCATCTTGTGATGCTCTGTCCAAGGCTAGCAGCGCCAGTTTCTGAATAATTTGAAATTCTGACTTCAGAAGATCTAACATAGGAGCTAATCCTTCAGCATCTCTGATAGAGGCTCGTGTCTGGTAGTCCTGGTAATGGAGTAATTTATGTCGTGAATTTTAACCAGAGAGTATTACACAATGAATGCATCAGAGTATCATTTTTATAATTTGGAAAAATAAAAATTTAAACTCATTAATATAAATTTGGACATCACAAAAGAAAAATTATTTCTTGGTTCATAGACAGAATTTAAAAAAATTTGTATGTACATACAATTTTACAATTTTAATAACTCTGACAAATTATCACTGACAAATCAAACAAGGTTTTACTGTCTGTTTCTATAAACCATTAAATTCTGCAGCATAATTTATTATAGCACCTTACCATCATCATTTGTGCAAGAGCTTCAATTCCATTCTTCTGGACATCTGGGTCATTAGAACTGAGACACTTGACCAACGGCTCTATACCACCATTCTCATAGATGGCTGACTTGCTGCTAAACTCTGTGGCCATATTGGACAGGCCAAGGGCGGAGAATTCATGGCAGACAGAATCTTCTGTAAAGTGTATCATGACCAGAGGTCAGAAATTGATATAAATTTCCTATTCAAATTGTGTCTTAAAATTATCCAATGTAAATAAAACAATATATATTCTAACTAACATTGTGAAATAATTGTAAAAGATAATTTACATTCAATAAATATGTCGTAGATGTTTTGTAACTCTCAATATAATCCATATCAGTCTCCCAACAGATATTTTAAGTGTTACAAATGACTTCCCCTTTTGACATTCTCAGTAAACCACGGTCAATATACGAAGTACAATCAAATGTGCCAGGGTTACTGCTGATGCCTTTTTGGCTAAACTTCTGCATTTATAGTTTCCATGTTCTCCTATGCATTAAAGATGCATTATTGCTTTTATTAGTAGGGAAAAAATCTCAAATGCACTTTTACTTTGGAAATATCACCATTTGCATAAGGATCGTTTCAATACTGTTTTTACAGAATTCATGTACATGTATCACTATTATGTCTCCGGTTCATTATTACAACTTTTGTAACTAAAGTTCATCATCAAACATAGTGTATGATGAATAGTCCATTAGTGCTGTGTGCTGTTAACAAAAAATCTCTGTTCCTGGGATTTTAATACTTAGCCTTGACTCTTGAACTTAAACTTCCAAAATTTTACCCTGTCTACCTTATGTATTTATCACAAAGGAATGTTGCATATGGGCATGGTTTCTCTTTTATCAAGATTTTCTAAATTTCATCTTCTGTTGTATTCTTGATATATATCTAATACACCTACCTTCTGGTGCTAACAAAGATATAAATGTGGGGATGCTTCTTTCTTTTTTTCTGAGGTATTTCCGTACATCAGCTATAATAAAGAATTATATGAAGTGAATATGTTTACAATAATTATCATGAGATAAATTTCTTCCTTTTTCACCTTCATAAGCAGAGAGAATGCTTGTTTTGCTATGAATTCAACATTTAGATAATAATTCCATATAAACATATTGTTATGATAATCAAGCATTTACTTCAATTCTCAGATGAAAATATCCTTTTTTCTTGAAAAAAAAAATCTGTGGAAAACAAATGGCTAACAAGGCTGTAATCCAAATTATTCTGGTTTTTTTTACCCCATTTTTTGGATGAAACTGAATATAAACATTGAAGATATGAATAGAGTTTACCAATTTATGATATGCTACAAATCTGCTTATTCATTTAGAGGTAAGGATCAGATGGGAGAAAAAACCAGTGTAAAAACTTACGTTGAGCTGTCATGGAGCCTAAAGCCATGCAGGCATTTCTACGGACAAGTCTATCCTCACTCTGCATTAGCTGTAACAAAGGGTCGCCAGCTCCCAAATCCAGGAGCTGTTTTCTGTTTTCATCACCTGTAGAGGGTTGATAAAACAAAATAATCCTTTTATTTTATAATTAATAAGTGATACAGATTTCTTTCTTTAATTATTTCCTTGGCTGGAGTAATTTTTTTTTCTGTGTTTTTGGAACCATGTGTTACATCAAGCCTCTGAACATCTGTCAGACTTGTGAAATATTTTATAGTCCTAGATCAAATTGTACCATTTTTCATCTATATTATTGTGAAGGTGAAAATATTTTATTTTTTCTTAGAATGTTTAAAATTTGTTAAAAATAGTTCAGCAAGTTCATTTTTCTCTGCACATTACAAAATTAATACAATTTTATTTCATCTGAAAATGTATAATTACGAAAATTTGTTTACATGTGGTAAACATCAGTTACTTATATTTTGTGCCATATGTGTGTGTTAAAATCATGTCTACAAACAAAGGAAGTTTAGATCAGTGTTGTCAACAGCACTTGGGATCATGTAAAACAAAAGCTGTATATATTTTATGTTTTAAAATGATGATGATGATGATGATGATGATGATGATGATGATGATGATGATGATGATGATGATGATGATGATGATGATGATGATGATGTAAAAGTTATCTAAAAAGCACTTGTTAGTTAAACTGACAATGGAACTACTTACATATTCCATTTCAGATGAAGGAAAGCACCATTAACTTTAGAATATTTCAAATAGTTATTAAATTTAGAGGTTTTTTTTATAATGAATTATTTTTAAATAGAGATATTTGTATATATCCCCAAATATACTTACATTTCTCCACAAATTTGTAGATAGCCTCACAAGCTTTAGCTTGAACTTCCTCCTCTGGACTGTTTAGCATAAGAACCACTGTTCCAGCCTGTCGGCTCTCAAGGGCTACCACATCAAACTGATTCATAGAAATTTAAAAACATATATATTGTGTTTTCATTCATATTTCATTTGTTTTAAAAATCGAGTTTAATGTCTTTAATAATAGGTCAACACTGTTGCAGTTTTGTTCAACTTCAAAAGTTTTATACATTTTGCAATTTCCACTCTAAATGACATTCCTAAACATATTTCAAGTTCAACTTTTGGTCACTATATAGAGAAACTGTACTCTATATATTTTGTGCAATCATTGAAAGAGAGTCTTAACCAAAGTCATCTGTAAACAAACCATTTCTGACTCTAAACATGCAAATACATAATTGGGAGTTGCATATATTTTAATGTGGTGGATCTTTAGTTGATTGAACAAATGTTCCAATAGCAGGAGACCTGGATCAAGCAAGATAAACATGTCTATATGATATCTCCTATTTTGTATACAGGAGATATTGAGTTACGACACATTAATTATTTTCACAAAAACAAAAATAGTTACCACATCATCTGGAGGAGGTTTCTTGTCTTCTTTGACCTTCTTACCCATTGTTGACACCTATTAAATGGAAAAGATTCAAGATGAAAGGTACAGTACCAAAATATGCATACAATGCTAACTGCATGTCCAGTGGTTTTATATGCTCAATATTACTTGTTTCTAAGACCCTCACATAAATACTATTTCATTACAAATAGAATGAAAAACATTCCTTACACAATGCATAAATAAATGAAATAATATAAAATCATCTTGCCTGTATATGTGTCAACAAACATTGAACACATACACATGCATTTACATAAAAATACCAGTATAGACATTTAACTGAGCTGATCCTCTGAAACACAATAAGATACAAACAGTACCAGTAATTTATACTTGCCTTGTATGTGTATCATTTGATAACATGAAAATAAATACTGAAAACCAGAAAACATATGATGGAGTCTTACTGACATCCAACTGTAGAATGTAAAATGAAACAGGTAGCCTACGTCTAGTCCAAAATGTTCTATCAGTCAATAGGATACTTTTGCCTTTGTCACTTTTAATACACAAACGGAAAGTTTCTAGGTCTAGCAGTTAGGTAATCAGATATTTCCGTACTACATGTATGTTTAGAGTTGTGAGTGTAAACGAGATAGCGACAGTGACGATAGATCTACTGTACGATACACTCGCCAACTCAGCGTAGGTTCATGGCACTCGACTGCAGTATGATGTGTGTCTGTTTAGTGATATCAGTGTTTAAGAATTGTCTTCAGATTACATAGGAATAATCATAGCATCGAAATTTATTCTATATCTGTCTATTTACCTTATTTAGCTGTTATGGTTATGATACAGCTATGCCGCCATGAAAATGCTGTGTGGTGTTGCTATATGACGTCACTAGTTTTGTTGCTCTTTGTTTGGTGACGACACATGAAATAGTCGACAGACAGCGCGAAAATTCTAATGTCAAACAGGTGCACTACTGCCGACCGGATTGAGGTGACCATAACGTTACACTGGAACTGTGCATGTGTCCCTGTAGTCGGTATAACTCTTTTTTGAAAAGAAACTGTTAAATTCAAAGAGATGATATACGAAAGTAAGAGATTTATGCAATTTATAACGCATGCTAATTATATATAATTACCCATGATGCACGTGAAAGATTAATTACTTTTAGTTACCTTGTGACTAATAAAATATAAACTTAACATATTTCTTGTATACTGATCTGAATTAATAGTGATGTATGACTAACAATTTATTCATTTGAATGAAATCACAATCATGTAGTTTTTTCCTAAATATCTTCTGTATTTTGAAAATCTTAAATGTTGATGTAAAATATTTCTAAAATTTTGGATGCTGATTTCAAGTAAAATATTATCAATGTGTATGTTCTTTCATTGATCCTACATACTTTATGAAGATTTTGATACGTTTTCGAAAATGATATTGAAGTTCAACTACAAGATGAAGTTTCAGAAAAATAACACTTTTTAATGTTGATTAAGTGTTAGGTCCTATATTTATATATATATATAGATTTATCTGATGATGATAGAACATTATCCAAACCTATGTTGACACAGGTGCCGTTCTAGCTCTGATACATTTGTGTAGATGTGGAAGTAATATACTTTATACAGTCTATTTACACATTTTTTTAATCAGCAACAACTTTGTACTCATTATATTGTTGGAAAATTTCAAAGATATTAAAAAAGTAAACATATGATGATTTTATATAGTTACCTTTAACTTTATTTCAGTTATATCTCGCATTTAAGTTTAAAAAAAAAAACTACTCCCAGCACCTAACTAATGACATAATGCAGGACTTAATAGCCACCTTTCGAGTTAGGTTCAAAACAAAGTTTTCTCAGATTTTAGACATTCCAGTCACGTAACTTGTTAGCCCTAGGAATTTCTAGTCGGTGCTATCAATACTAATTGGCAGCTGGGGAATTTCAAGTATCAATGCATTTTTTAGATGCTGTAGCAATGGAAATAAAGAGGAGAAGATGCCAACGAACATCAGAAGTAAGTTTCTTTTATTTCAAATTCCCTAAGGATTTCAGGTATGTAAAAACTTGTTCATATCTTTTGTTAATGTTAACGGATAGTCTAACGCCTTGTAGGTTCATCCAGTTGAGATTCAATTATAACTGTGTGACATTCTTTTCTTACATAAGTTGTTTACGGATGTCTGTGCAAAATAACTTGAAGCTATATTTGAGATGTACAAGCATTTTTCCATAATCTTGAATTAAGCAAGTTTCATTAATTGAACATGCATTTATGAAAGCAGGTAGGACTAACAAAATTTCAAAATATAAAACTAAACAAAACTGATCCCAGAAATGGCTAACTTGAAAGGCAGCTACTACAAAGGGAGTTTTTATGTTAGCAAAACAAATAAAAAACTTAATGTCAAATGATTATTCAAATTGGATCAGAACAATTGATGTTTACAATTGATATTGAATTAGGGCGCCTTAATTAATCTCCATATTGCATTACTGTCTCCTGTTTATTTGACCATTATCTATGTAAGTTTCATCTGAACTTTGTTTTTATACATTTGTAGGTCAGTCTGATATGGTAGAGGAAGTCTCCTATGTAGTTTTATACATAAAAAAACCTATCTGAGACTGTTATCTTGCAGTGAACCTTGACATGATTATCAGTATGTCCAACAACACAGCAGACACATGGAGATCTCTTGATACTTCACTGGAAGTAAATGTCTCTGATGTTTGCTATATAATATCTACTTCAAAGCAACCAAGATTGAGGAGGATTTGGGGAAGTTTTAATCCAACATCCTAGTAAGTAGTAAGTATAACAAACTAAACCCCAAAACAAAGATGTTGGTCATTTTAGAGGATAGGTTCTCTGTTCTCTTTCTTTTTACTTGTGACTTAATTGTCAAAATCCTTATAACAAATCTGTTAACAGGGCTCTCGATCTGCCAGATTTGGGGCCGATATTTGGCCCCTTCCCAATGCAAAATAGTATCTTTTTTTTCCCAATTTAGACCCCAAGTTTTCCCAATTCTTAGGAAAACACCATTATCTTTCCCAATTCAAAGGGCCCCGGGCCCCAGTCCCAAAATGGGGTGTGAGAGCCCTGACAACAAATCTATTAATCACCACCCACTCCGGGCTAATAGCGTCTTTTTCTCCCTTGATATTACATCAGACTTTGCCTTGAAATGCACTAGAATTTTCTGAAAAATTGAGACAGAATTTTTTAATTTTGCTCAATTTTTGGAAAATATACCATTTGGGTTGGGAAAACAGTCTTTGTTGGTCTGTGAAACAGAGCAAAAAATAAACTGACATGTAATTCCTTAATAAGATTTGAATGTCGATTTATCAGGAAATTGTCAGCCATCTGTTTAAATGATAGATGACAAAAAGCTTCAGTCTCAAACTCGGGTCATAATCAGGATAAGTTGGAAAATATTTTATTTGTTGTGAAAGTATAGATAAGCAGAATTTCTTCAAATATAATTCTTGTTCATATAGAAAATTACAATTCCAAGGAAAGATAATTGAGTCACAGACTTTTGTTTTTTAGGGTGTAAAAGTTCCTATTGGCAACAAAGATGTTGAATCTAAAGGTCAAATGACAAGGTCATACAAGAATTTCATTTAAGGTAAAGTTTAAAGTTAAAAGAAAGTAATGTGTATCAATATATGTTGACAATATTATATTTGTATGCAGTTTTTGATAAGTTGTATTAATGTTGATAAAAAGTTGAAACGCTTATAAAGTTATTATCAAAATTACAGGATATTTACTGTATGATTTCATTACTTATAATAAGATTTATCATTTTAAAAAAAATGTGTATCATCTGTCCTCCACACTCCATCTGTGTTTCCGGCACCCCTCTGAGTTGTGAAATCTGGTCTGTGTAGGCACGCAGTAAGTGTGTTGCTCACAGACCTATCAGAAAACAAAACATTCCAAGCTGGAAGCTGCCAAAAGTTTTTGTGAATGGCATTTACAGAGATGTATTAATATCTGCCCTGTAAACCAACAATCCCTTTCGGTGTGTGCTGACCACTTGTTAGCACTACAAAAATATGTGGTAAGAAATGTCAGCTTGATACAACACTTATAGTTATCTGACTATTTGAGTTTTTTTATATTGTTTCCACATTTTCTGCATTTCAATGGGGAAAAAAAGTGATATCTTAATCAGGTAGGTGATAAATTAGACCCAAGTTATAGACAAATCTTAAACTAATCATGAATTCAGGAATTTATATACAGTTTAAGTTCAGCATAGGAGTGCATGTTGTATTTGATAGATTTTATATTTCTTTGATTTATCAGCCTTTTTTTTTATTTCTTTGATCTTATCAGCTCCTTTTTTATGAAAATACATGTGTATCTTTAAGCAAGCACTTTACAAGCAGTCATCGTTCTAATGATGCATTTACATGCAATTCAGAATGTTGGTAAAATGAATTGGTCTGATAAGATCAATCTCTTTCCTTATTTCTTGTCTGTTGATGGTATATGGCAGGGAATGGATATGTGTTGATGTTCTACCTCTTACCATACTAGCACTGCACTTTTAAACACAATAAATTTTATAATAAATTTATTGCTAGTGAGGTATAAGTAATTTGCTGTATACTGTTGATGCAAGTAAAATTTGTTTGTAAAAGTTGTTATCAGTATGAATCAGTTTAACAGTGGGGTATTTTTGAATTGTGGAAAGTTCATCTTTTATGAAGCTGATTACAATACCATGTAAATGGAAATGATTTGATTTAGACAAATGCTTTGAAAGCATGCCATTTCAGTTATTGATATGAATAGTTTGTTTGGAAGTTATTAATTACTGATACTTGTTTTGCATTTTAGTAATTTATTGAAAAATGGTAAAATGTAAATTTGTTGTTTGAAAATTAAACAAAATATTTTGCAGGATTAAAGATTTCTGTTCATGTACACCAGCTATTTGTATGAGGTAAGAATAAGTCTATAAATGAAATGGTTTACATCTTTTTAAAGGTACATCATTTGTCAACAATTAATTCTATATGAAGCTCAGATATCTGGTTCTTCAAATACCTTACAAGGGAGATAACTTCATCATCTCTGTTAGAATTTAGTTTAGTCCTGCTGCTTGCTCTGATCATTGAATTACATTATATTGTGGCTGTGAAATTAAGTTTGGTAAGTTGGAAAACTGAATTTTGCTGAGTTTGAAATTAAACATAAGATAATATGATATAAAAAAGGAAATGAGATTTAGAGTCTGTTAATTGATATCATGCATGTCCCCTGGGTTTTTACCAGATCATCACTGAAAGAGAAGTTTATGCCTCTATTTTCATAATATCTAGTGATTGACCTAAAATTATTGCAGTGTTCTCTCTTGGCTATCATTAGATATCTTTTTTCTTGTGTAAAAAACACCCCAGTAAAACATAAAAGTTTGATTCAGTAATCTGATTTCTGCAGCAAATTTCTCATACAGATCTGAGATGTAAAATCTGATCTTTTATTTGTTTTATCGAAAGTTTTCAGAAATTCATTGTAAGGAAGTTTTAAGAATGATTTCAAGGATGTCTTGTACATAAAGCATTGTTTAATGTTAACTTTGTGTGCAAAATTATAAACTTTGGTTACAAAATAAGATTTGAAATTTAATACAAGAAAATGGGGGAGGGTGTGGGTGGTGGGGTTTTATGAAGGAAGCCAATTCTAACTAATTTACAAAGTATCATCACATTCTGCAGCTGACTCATGTCTCTTTTTTTCATTGAACCTAGAAAAGGATAGGTAAGAATGCAAACCAAATGTTGTTATGTGAAGATAAATCA